AGCCATCTAATGGAACCTCTATCTATATATCTAGCCATCTAATGGAACCTCTATCTATATACCTAGCCATCTAATGGAACCTCTATCTATATATCTAGCCATCTAATGGAACCTCTATCTATATACCTAGCCATCTAATGGAACCTCTATCTATATATCTAGCCATCTAATGGAACCTCTATCTATATACCAAGCCATCTAATGAACTTTAATAGTTGGAGCTTAACGATTCATAATCACGGATTTTTATTCTCCTAAATGTAGTGTGTGGATCCTCTAAATCACTCAAAACAAAATTCACTATCCGACATGTTAAGGAAAAGTCATAACAATTATATTTCAATAACAGTGTCACACGAACGGAGATCCGTAACAGCTGCCACACATGTTGTAGCGCATGATTGGTCCGTTACGTAATAAGAAGATTCCTAATATCAACATTACTTCAATCTAAAAGCAAATATATACTTATACAACTATAAACATATGTTCCTATAGGGAACGCAATAATATTAATGAACTTGTAAGTCACTCCGAAGGCTTTTCCAAGCTTTCGGGCTTAGCCCTTCGTCAGGGATTAAATGTCACTGGACCTCCACTATGACGTTGATGTTGATGTTGATGCCTTGCTACTTTGGATTCCTCCTTAACCATTTCCAGTGCGCACACCCGTAAGTCCGTAATAGAATGACCTCTTCCAAGAAAGTGATGTGCCACCGGTTTATCTATTCAGCCGGATGTCCGACACATGTTCCTTTATCCTTTCCTTAAGTGTACGCTCCGTCTCTCCCACATATACAGATATGTCACATTTCAAACATGATAAACAATAAATAACATTACGGGTTTGGCAGGACTGCCCATCTAGTGCCCTATATGTAGACTGGTAAGATGTATCAGTAGTTGTTTCTATGAGTCTATCACACACATCACAGTCGGACGTACACTTATCCTTTGTTATCCGGAAACAGCGCTTCAACTTTCCATGCACCAATATGTCTGCTATGTTTTTGTCTCTCTTGTAGCTGACAATTAATAAGTCCTTGAAGACAGCTTTCATTCTTTCTGACTTGTGCAGTAATCTCATGTGTCTCCGTAGAATTTCATTGATGTCTGGCAGCTTTGCTTGGAAAAGAGTTACTTATACAATGTATGTACTACCGTCTAAGTACCGACAAAATGACAGGCTTTTCCCCATCCTGCACATGTGTTTCTCCCACCCTTCACATGTGTGTCTCCCGTTATAGCCGGGAAAGATCAGCTTGTCACCCCCTAGGGGGAGATAGCCTCGTGCCGATTAGCACGTGTTCGATTGTGACATCATTAAAATGCGTCACCTGTAATTGTGACGTCATCAAAAGTGAAAGACAATTTTCATACCCCAAATGTGTTTTTATTTACGCTACTGTCGGTGGAGTTGTGACTGAAATAATAGGACGGGATGATTTTTTTGGTTGTCTAACCCGAGGCAGAGCCTCGGGTTAGACAACCAAAACACATCATCCCTCGGATTGGAGATTTCTCTATCACACCCTCAAGGTAGGGGAAGATTCTATTAGTCTCCCGTTTTAGCCGGGAAATATCAATTTGTCAGTCCCTAGGGGAATATAACCTCGTGCCGTTTAGCACGTGTTCAATTGTGACGTCAATAAATGCGTCATCGGCAATTATGAGGTCATCAAAAGTGAATGACGATATGCATACCCCACATGTGTTTTTGTTTACAAACATGGCAGACTTCTGTCGGTGGAGTTGTAACTGAAAAAATAGGATGGGAAAAAAAGAATCATCCCCAACCTTGAGGGTCTAACAGAAATCGTCAACCCTTGGGGTGATTCTTTTGGTAGTCTAACCCTCGGCAGAGCGCGGGTTAGACAACCAAAATAAAATCCCCCTCGGGTTGGAGATTTCTCTGTCACACCCTCAAGATAGGGGAAGATTTTATTAATCTAACTGGATCATAACAACAATATGGTAATGACATACATGTATATAACATTTCTCTATCATCTATTATCTCCCTAAAATACAGCTCAGGCCAAGTAAACCTAAACACAGTTTCACAAGTTACCGACACAGAGGTGCAGTGGGTTACAAAGCTATTCCTACACAACTATCATTCGAGTGATACAGCGCCGTCTGTTTTTAACTAATTCTTACCTGAAGTGTTCCTTCTCAACACGACGTTGACCGTCTGTCTAAACTTGCTTCTTTTTATATCCCGAGATTTAGAGGCTGCGCAGTAGGGAGAATATTTTCATATCATAAAAACACTTGTAAATAACAGCAGTCAATAGATCGGAATTAAGAGCTTTATTGACCCCTACTCATAGCAAAAAAGCATGGGAAATATTCCCCAACTGTCGGGAGGTATGACAAAACTTCATAACAATGCGTATTGACACAGGTGATGTAAATATAAACAGAAAAGTTACAAGATATTCCAATTTAATAAAATTTGATGACAATGAAACACGTAGCACGTGCGGTGTACAGGGATTACTAGCACTTGATGACATCGGTGACCCCGATATGGCATGTATTAACAATACAGACAGAAACGAGTTTAAAAGCTGCAGCAGTGAAAGGTAGTTTGTCGGTATCATATAATATACAATCAGGGGCACTTTTTGAACTAGCAGGCTTTTTACTATAATTATTTATCTTTATATTTAATATTTCTATTTTCTTTATATTTCTAGTTATTTATTTATTTCTATTTTTTATTTCTATTTTTATATTTCAATTTACTTATTTTTTGATTATCGTTGTTCGTTAAGCTGGATAATTAAAGGGATATATACATTTTATATGTGTATACTCTGAGGTAATGCATCCGTCTTTCTTTCTAATGTAACATGACTATCATCTTCTATTTCAATAAATCGTCAAAAATCTTTCATTCTACTATTTCATCATATATTATCTCTCATTCCAATATTACATCCTACATCTCTCATTGCAATATTACATCCTACATCTCTCATTCCAATATTACATTCTACATCTCTCATTCCAATATTACATTATGCATCTCTCATTCCAATATTACATAATGCATCTCTCATTCCAATATTACATTATGCATCTCTCATTCCAATATTACATTCTACATCTCACATTCCAATATTACATTATACATCTCTCATTCCAATATTACATCCTACATATCTCATTCCAATATTACATCCTACATCTCTCATTCCAATATTACATTCTACATCTCTCATTCCAATATTACATTCTACATCTCTCATTCCAATATTACATTCTACATCTCTCATTCCAATATTACATTCTACATCTCTCATTCCAATATTACATTCTACATCTCTCATTCCAATATTACATTCTACATCTCTCATTCCAATATTACATTCTACATCTCTCATTCCAATATTACATTCTACATCTCTCATTCCAATATTACATTCTACATCTCTCATTCCAATATTACATTCTACATCTCTCATTCCAATATTACATTCTACATCTCTCATTCCAATATTACATTCTACATCTCTCATTCCAATATTACATTCTACATCTCTCATTCCAATATTACATTCTACATCTCTCATTCCAATATTACATTCTACATCTCTCATTCCAATATTACATTCTACATCTCTCATTCCAATATTACATTCTACATCTCTCATTCCAATATTACATTCTACATCTCTCATTCCAATATTACATCCTACATCTCTCATTCCAATATTACATTCTACATCTCTCATTCCAATATTACATTCTACATCTCTCATTCCAATATTACATCCCATATGTCGCAGTCTTTATTACCTATCTGTTCTAGCCCGATGTAAACAGTTTTATAACGTTATATCTATTTACGGTTGTCTTTGTTTAGCAGCAATTGTTGTACACATTAAATCGTTCTAAATAATCGTTGTAACGTGAGGTTTCATCTGATTGTATATTGAATATTGTATATTGTATATTTTATTGTATATTGTATATTTTATTGTATAATGTATATTGTTTATTATATTGTATATTATATTGTATATTTTATTGTATATTGTATATTGTATATTGTGTATTTTATTGTATATTGTATATTATATTGTATATTGTATATTGTATATTATATTGTATATTGTATATTCTATTCAGTTGTCACCCTTTAATTCGATAGTAGTTAATGGATCTTTTAGCAATATCAAACAATTAAGTAATCGGTTATATTTCCGCAATTACAAAAAGCATTTGATAAAATTCTATATTTACAAAATCTAGACTTAACCACTTATTTGATTTTCATACTTTGATCAGTTGGTCGAAATATATTCACTCGACATCCAAAAGTGTTGTACGTACTGATGAACATTTAAGTCAATAAAAAATGCATATCTTAAAATTTCGCGATAGTTCGATTTAATTAATCAAAATCTCTTGTTTAGTACTAGGCGATAATTTCGATATTTTAAGTTAATATCTCGAAATGTCAAGATACTCATGCGAATTTTGAGTACCTAATACAAAAGAAAGAACTATTTTCTAAATTTCCTAGCGCTTTTCCACTGCAACCTTACTTGTATTTCACTAAATAAGGAAATATTACTGTAATTACGAACAAAACGAACCTTAATAGTAACTGAATTTATATTTGTGTTTTCAAAGGTTAATACCAGGATGTCAGAAATCTGAACATATGACAGATAGTTCGTTCATGATTCGAACAAAAAAATCAAATTTAGTGCCATGAACTGTAATCGATGGCTCTAAACATAATTACAGATTAACCCAGAAGAATAAATCCTGATCGCTTGTATGAGACAATTTAAGGAAGATTAAAAACACATTGATTCTGACGTCTAGAGCAGGAAGACTGTGGTACCGTACCACAATGCAAGCATCACTGGAACACATGTAATCAAGCAAGCCGGACATAAAAACGCCACTGACCGGGGCTGCCGGTAAATCCATCAATTGTATGGCCGAGAGTGTAGATAACCACACCTAACCAACCCGGAGACATTTGTTAATACTGCCGTCACACCGGACTGGCGTCCTTACCGCGTCCTAAACTGTCATATTTTGGAGAACGCCGATGGTCGCATTGAGAACGCCAAAGATTTTTCTAAAATAAATCCAGATTTCGAGTCAGCCGTCACACCGGAGTTCTGTGCTCTGCGATCTGTGTATGTACACGGCGTTCCCAACACGACCTTACCGCGTTCTTACTGCGTCCTTGGAGTTTCTATTGAGTTTACACGGCGTCACTGCGGCGTCCATACGGCGATCAGCGGCGACCCCACTGCGACCCCACTGCGTTCTTAGCGCGGACAATAGCTCAAATCCCGAAACATCGCGGTAAGGACGCCATAGACGTGATGGGGTCGTGGTAAGAACCCCATAGACGTGGTAAAGACGCAGTAAGGTCGCCATTGGTTCCCCCGATCCTTTTCTCCGCGTTTACATGGCGACTCTACCACGTCTGTACTACGTTCCTTTGGCGTTGTTCGGGTTCCTACTGCGATGCTACGGCGACCATGGCGACCTCAGGGCGATCCCACGGCGTCCTGAGCCAGGACGCGCTCAGGACGCCGAACCTCGGCGTTTACTTTGAACATGTCCAAAGTAAACGCCGTCGCTCTGCGACCTTCGGTGTCCTTGGGGTCCCCACGGCGTCTTGATGCGTTCTCACCACAACCCTACGGCGTCCATGGCGTCCCTTCCACGTCCTGGGTCGCCGTAGGGACGCCGTAGGGACGCCAGTCCGGTGTGACGACTGTATAACGCATCGCGCAGAAAATACGTCAATAGTAAACAAAGTTTAACCGTCTAATTTAACAGGAGACAGCCTAACGATGTTCCCGTTCCTCTTCTCAATCGTTTTTATTAGTAACACATTTGCTTACTGCGAGGTAAATGGTACTATTATTAATCTTAACAATTGTTTGCTTTAAACCATCTGACATCTTACACCTCTATTCACACTTCATTCTCTTTTACCGCGATGTACGAAGATTCTCGTTTACCGCGATGTATGAAGATTCTCCTTTACCGTGATGTATGAAGATTCTCCTTTACCGCGATGTATGAAGATTCTCTTTACCGCGATGTATGAAGATTCTCCTTTACCGCGATGTACGAAGATTCTCCTTTACCGCGATGTACGAAGATTCTACTTTACCGTGATGTATGAAGATTCTCGTTTACCGCGATGTATGAAGATTCTCGTTTACCGCGATGTATGAAGGTTCTCCTTTACCGCGATGTATGAAGATTCTCCTTTACCGCGATGTATGAAGGTTCTCCTTTACTGTGATGTATGAAGATTCTCCTTTACCGCGATGTATGAAGATTCTCCTTTAGCGCGATGTATGAAGATTCTACTTTACCGCGAGGTATGAAGATTCTCGTTTACCGCGATGTATGAAGGTTCTCCTTCACCGCGATGTATGAAGATTCTCCTTTACCGCGATGTATGAAGATTCTCCTTTACCGCGATGTATGAAGATTCTCCTTTACCGCAATGCATGAAGATTCTCCTTTACCGCGATGTATGAAGATTCTCCTTTACCGCGATGTATGAAGATTCTCCTTTACCGCGATGTATGAAGATTCTACTTTACCGCGATGTATGCAGATTCTCCTTTACCGCGATGTATGAAGATTCTCCTTTACCGCGATGTATGAAGATTCTCCTTTACCGCCATGTATGAAGATTCTACTTTTCCGTGATGTACGAAGATTCTCGTTTACCGCGAAGTATGAAGATTCTACTTTACCGTGATGTATGAAGATTCTCCTTTACCGAGATGTACGAAGATTCTCGTTTACCGCTATGTATGAAGATTCTCCTTTACCGAGATGTATGAAGAACTGGTATATGCCCTTGCAGGTGAACGACAATAGCTGCGATATCCTAGATAGGAACGGTGTATTCGACACCGGGAGAAGGTCTTGGACTCTTGTTTGCCTATAACAGGCTTCTTCAACAGTGACGTAACATTAGCTTTCTTTAAACTAATGGAACCTTTGGCTCATCATATGACTTTCTTGCCGTTGAGCGTCTTAAGAAATTCTTTCAAATAAGATCTGTGGGAGGAGGATCCAGGTAAAAGTATGTTAATCTTAACATATTAAGTTTTATAAAAACATGTAGTCTTTTGTTACGCGGGTTGTGTTTCGTGTTCTGGTTATGTAATCTGACGAGATTGTAGGATCCGCCCCGGCCTGATGACCGTTCCGATCCGTGCCTACTGCCAGACGTTTGTTTGTA